GAATATCCACGCCGCAGGATTATTTGGTTCGCGAAGTGTCGATGGATGGGTGGGTGGCATGGAATATTGATCGATATAAGTTCCTTGATCCCTCCCGATTTCTTGGGTATGGGTGGCAGGTTTGGAAATTGTGTGGCTAATTATTGGAGGGAGTTGTAAAGGAAGGAAAGCGAAGGAAAGTTTGCATTTGCTGATGGGTACAGCATATGTACGACGGCAGGTAAGGATGATTAATGATGTATATCCCAGAAACAGAGTATGTACGTATTGCGAATAGATGGATTTGCGCTCTAGGTACTCTACATCCACATCTACATGCACACGCACACCCACACGGACTCTCAGAAATAGAATCTTACCTGAGCCTTGTCATAGTCGCCCATCACCGAGTTCAATCTCTATATTGCCCACTCCGTTGATTCCCTCTTTGAACTCTGGAGCGCACGCACGAACATTTACCGATCACAGAAATAACCGTCCCGAGAATATGGTTTGGGTAGAGGCTGTTGTGCGTAGATGAATAATCATCCACATATCCATTTCTCCTCCTCATCCGTAGAACTGTAAAAATTACACTTCAATCCATCCTCAAGTGTGTATCACATCTGCTAGAGCTATATGTGTATATACCATCGTATCATGTTCGTGCGGTCATGCGAAGTTATCGCTATGATGTGATATTGATGTCAAATATGAATACCGGTCAGCAACCCGTTCCCGCTCGGCTACCCTCCGGATCAGTTTATCCGCATCCGAATTCTTTGGCAGCTTCTTGGCCGAGAGGATTAGATATATGTGAGGATTGGATGGTTGTGTTCTGGAGGTAAGCATCAAGGGACGGATACATCGTTCCGCTGATAAGAGACATATCTTTCCTTCTGGAAGATGGAGCTATCGTATATCTTCGGTACATACCTAGGTAACCGATATCCCTGCATCGTGCACGACCCTGTATCTTGCACGCTTTAATTTATTGAATTAAAAATTGATTATAAATCCAAAACTGTTTATAATAATATTAAAATTTATAAAAAACAGATTGAAGATTAGCTAAATATAATAATAAGTTTTTGATAAATTTGAAATATCAAATAGAATATTAATTGATTTTAAAAAATAATATTTTAAAATATTAATAATTTAATAAAAATTTATATTAGAATAAATTTATATTATTAAAAATAAAGTTTTTTAAATTAATTTATATTATTATTATTGAAAAAAAGCTTGGAATTCTGAAAAATATAAAAAATTAAGTTTTAAATATAATTTCAAAAATATGTATAATATTCAAAAAAATAAAAAGAATTTAAAAATTCTTTTTAAAATATTTTAAAATGTTTTTTTATAGATTTTAAGAATTTGAAATTATTATTGGATTTTAATTAGAAAATAGAATTTTTATATATTAGAAAATATATAATATAATAATAATAAAATTATAAAAAAATAATAAATAATTAAAAAACTATAACTTATTATATTATAAATTAATATATCAAACGAAAAAATAAAGAAATGAAATAAAAATATTCTAATTTGTCAATAAATAAATCTATTATTTTTTTTAAAAAAAACTAAAAGATATTATAAATCTATTTTTTAAAAGAATTTATTTTTTTAAAAAAAATCCTCAAATTTTATAATATTTCTAATAATTTTACAGATTAAATATAATTATAATTTAATATTATAATATATTCTATTTTTTATTAATATTCAAATTAATTCCGTTTTTAAAATTTTTTAAAAAAATCTTTTTTGAAATATCTTATTATTAATTATATAATCCTAATATTTAATTTTATAATTTTTTTAATAAATTGATAATATATCTATATATTTATAATAAAATATAGTTATTTTAGTTTTCTAATCAAAATTAATCTCTTAATAACTATTATATAATTGAAAAAAATTAAAAATTATTATAAAATACTTGATTTATAATCAATTTTTTTTAAAAAAAAAGATTATTTATGAAAACTTAAATAATATATTGATATAATATCAAACTTATAATATAAAAACTTGATTTTTTTATTTCTTTATGTTAAAATATATTCAAATTTATAAAAAAGAAATTGAAAATCAATTTTCGTTATTTCTATTAATAAATAAATTAATATATAATATTTTTGTATTAATAATTTTAATATTGAAATTATATTATATATAATAATTATTTTTATATTTTGATTACTTTATAAGAAATAAATAGTAATATAATATATTATATATAATTATTAATAGAACTCAATGATTGATTAATTATATATTGAATTTAGAATATCTTTTTTAAAAGAAATAAAAGTGTGCACGATATAGGGGCGTGCACGATGTAGGGATATCGGTTACCTAGCTATCGAGAATTCTGGAGGGGAAAGGCTCACCCCCTTTTCCATACCATCTCCACTTCCTTCTAGTTTTCGCAAGGGAATTTTCTAAATACATCGTACGCAAAGGGAGATATCTAATCTGCGGGGAAGTAACTAGTCACATACTGCTGCGATTCCATACATGATACAAAAGGGAGATTAAAAAGAGAGTTCTGGTTCCCTTATCGCGCTTTGATGTTCACTGTCTTACATTCCTCTATCTGACTACCTATCTCGCTATCTATCTATCTATCTTTCCAGAATAAAGTTTTCTATCTTCCTTGCTTTTGTCCAAACTTTGTTTTGTTTCATCCCGCTGCTTCTCTTCTATTTGTTCGACGGCTAGTAGGTTGCGGATATTTAGTTAGTGTCTTGCCCCTGCTTTACTTTGTAAATATAGCATTTGATGTTGAGGTTGATGGATGGGGAGTGGAGTCTTGAGGTTCTGCTGCTAAACTCTATATACGATGATGGGTTGTGGAGTCGCTGGGTGGTAACTACATATGACGTACTTGGGCAGCGTTGCGAGTCAGGGGAATGGAGATCTGGAAGGATGGAGATGATCTTTATTGTAGGGCTTGCTATCAGTTATGAGTGGTACTAATTGTTGTTATTTTTGCTTTCGAAACTGTACCCCTTTATAGAAACCTGAAGACTTCCACATGACCTAGGAGATACCATTCTTCTTGAAATAGGTATCATAGTATATTCAATAGCATCACCTTCGAGCAAGGAATTCAAACGCGTTAAATCAGTCTGTGACATCAAAGTCGATAATTCTCTTCCTCTTCTACCCTACAGAATCATTTGCAGAAAGATGCATACGTGACATCAACATGGAATACCATACTGTAAATACCTTTCCTAAACTTCTTTCCACAGTAACCATAAGTAGCGGTTATAGTCGATCTTTAAATTTTAATCTCTTGGAACTTCTTGGACAATGGTATGTATGGAGAGGAATGTATGCGCGTATCAACTGTGGTCGAGCGATCAAACGGAATAGGAGAAGAGGTTTCGCTATGTGATAGTTGTGCGTGACATTCATTTAGAATGAATTACATCTTTAGGAGAAGAATATTTCTTCGAAATTGAGCAGCGGAGTGTCTATCATCAGTTAGGAAGATGGCGATTGGTGGCATTGAGCATTGCTTGCCGTTTGATATCAGCGATACTTCTTGATTAGTTTATTTCTCGCGGTTCTATAAGACCCCCAACGGGCTCAACACGGGGTATTTCTGTCGCGATTTCCTTGAATGAGAATTTTGATCTTGAAGCAATTCGTTTGTGAATTGGTTCTCCTGATATCATCTGGTAAAAAATTTCAGTAAGTCAATTACCAGTGAACAATCAAAGAAGGCTCACCAGTGGGTGTACGGACTCACGGGACAGTACAAAAATAAACTTGTAAATATCTTTTGATATATTGAACCATTTATTTTAAAATCGGTTATAATTCTTGAATAAAAAGAAAATAATCAAAATACAGATTCTGATATGAAACAATTGAAGAATGGATTTATGAAAAATATTGAAAATTGGGAAGTGTCCCGTCAGTCCATGCACCCACTGGTGGCTTCAAACTTTACATGAATTTTTGAAGGAAAGGTCCATTATCATTCATGTCTCTAGTCCTTCAACCACAGTCACGGTCCTGTTGCTTATATTAATCTTCCAATACCTCAGGAAAGCTGTCACATACCAGACTAGTCATAGTGTCTCCTTTGTATAACAAATATCCGAAATCAAAATTTCTTCGATCTTGTTCACTACATATTTCTGGATAACTTCTTACGAAATGTGTTTTCTCAATGTAACCGCTACTATCGTTGAAACTGCGAGTGTCTAATAGTGAAGACTGTGACCCAGAAATCTAGGATTTTCAATTTCTGAATGTAGTTGACATTTAGAGGGAATGCAAGAAATCCAAGAACGGTTCAGTAGTTGAAAGCAATTGAAGGTCAAAATGTGAAAAACTTTTGGTAGTCGGACAGTAATCCCGGACATGTGTTAATCTTTTCGTCCTTCGATATGCCTGCTATACAGCTCTTGAGCTGACAGAGTTTTAAGGTATGTTCTGCATGAGAACATATACTATTCTGGACAAACCTTTCTTGTTTGGTAAGGATTAGTAAATATTATGTGAGGCTACGGAAATTCTTTGAGAGGTTGTTCTTCCCTAAAACATCTATCATGTCTAACATGACGGGCAGACAATCAAAGCCGTCTGCTTAGTTCGTATTGTTGAATTCTTAAAATGAGTTCTCACTTTCAGAGAAGATCGAAACATCAAATTTATGGTGGGAAGGTGATTGCTGCGTATTTTAGTCCGAATCGAATATGAGTAACACCTTCCATTTGAAAGAATAGTTTGGTAGTTTCATAGCTTCAAATACTGTAACCGTCTAGATAAGCGCGCCTTCCAGAACAGCAATATACTAATGGAATGTATTCTATCTGCAGGGTTATTGTACATTTAAACTAAGTTTATTTGCGAATTACGATATCAGCATTACATCCCCAGCACGAAATTCATCGCTGGACCTCTCTCTGTCAAAACAGCTTAATCTCACACTCGTCTTCGTCAAAGCAACATCTTCATCAAGGCCTCCAACTCTAGACATGAAAGCTGCCATCCTAGCTCCTGGGTTCCTTCGTTGTCCCACCGAAGTGCATTGCATGATCTTTCAGTCTCTCTCTCCCAAAGATTTCTACGGTTTATTCTGGACATGCAAGATTTTGAATAGGATTGCGGAGCCATTTATGTACTCTGAAATTCAATTGAATTGGAGGAAACATTCGAGACCGCCCCGAATCATCTCACTCATCAAAAATGTACTCTCGAGACCCGACCTAGCGCTTTGTGTAACAGGTCTCACGCTCGGTAGAACCGGTGGCGAATCCATGCGTAGCGTTGCCGCAATTCGTGATATTAGACTCACCGTAGATGAAGCTGACCTCGAACAACTGATTGAAGTCATCAAGACCTTCAAAATTGATTATAGAGATAGTTGGATCAGCGAATTGCGCAACAGAAATATGGACGCGTTCGTGGCTATCTTACTGTGTAAACTCCCGAATCTGATTTACTTTCAATTGAATCCAAATTTCATGCATGGAAATGAAATCTTTGGCTTGGTTCTCAGATCGACTGTCTCCCAAGATGGCAATTGTGGAATTGCCTCTTCTCAACGACTTCAACATGTGACTTTCAAACGGACCACCATAGGTCGATTTAGAGGCGGAACTTTGAACCCAGAAGATATCTTTTCGTTCTTCTCTTTACCAAACATTGTTTGTCTATCAGCTGCAATAGAGCCTGCAGCAGATTACGGCTGGCGTCTAAGTTCACAGCCCGTAGCATCAACCGTTACGGTACTAGATCTTGATTTGGTAAATGCTGGGGTACTTTACCAAATCCTAAGTGTTACGACTAGACTCAAGGTTCTGCGCTGGAGATGGCATCACTATGAAAACTCTGAAACTACGATCCGATACGACGTTATCATGGGTGCATTGTCATTCGTTCGGAACACCTTGAGTGATCTCACCATCTCCGCGGAAAATGAAGTGGTTAATGCGTATTCTTCTCGGATCCAATGTGCAGGTTCATTAGGCGCGCTTGTAAATTTCGACCTTTTGAGGAGATTTGAGATTAATTTAGAATTTCTGCTTGGATCTGTTTCAAGCCCGGGGCATGGACTTCGCTATCTTCCTCGATCTGGCCGGACTTTACAATTTGAAAGGATTGTACCTAAAAATATCGAGGTTCTCACTCTCACCGATGATAAAGAACTAGAATGGCGAAACCGTGTTCATTATCACGTTGTAGTCACAGCAATTCAATCTTGGTTGGCTGCTTGGGAAACCTCAACACCTCATCTTCAAAGCATTCGTCTTCTGCTGACGTATGACTATCAGGAATTTGACTCTACTCCAACCCGAGATGTATACAAACTTGATCGCACTATGCGACTGGATCTCGATAGATTGAGTGCGAAAGCGGGGGTAGAAATTGAAGTACGACGGATATATAGAACAAATCTTTGATCCATGTTCTTTCGTCTCCTTCAGAACTACTAAAACAGATTACCCAAAGTTGAGTGATTGGACCAAAAGAGACTTTTAACATCAGAGAGGATGTCGGCAAAGAACTCGGCTCATCGTCTCCACACAGTAATCAAGCATGCCGTACTAGCCGTGGTGGGTCGACTGAGAATACAACCCGTCGAAACAGTCTAGATATACTTTATGACTTCTACACTTACAAACATCCGGTATAATTTTACTGCACATCATTCTCGATTGGCCCTCTAAAGATAATCAATTCTCGATAAATAAGCTCTTATCGTCCACCTGGTTGAACATGCGGGGTCATACTCGATACGCAGAAAATATTGTGCTCTGATTGGTTAATGGTCAGGTACAACGTCTGTACAATATTGCACGGCAGTTGGATGTTTTCCTATTGTCAAGGGTGTGAAATGGGAATACCTGCCTATCGTGGTTTTGAATAGCGGGCCTTTGTGGTTTTCTTGTTGGATACATGAAAATAATTGTTATCACTTGTTATCTTGCATCGTAGAGGGGGTATGTTCTGATATAGCTTGTCAGGAGGGTGTGTGGCGTGTAGGCAGTTCTTTTAAATATGTGCCTCCATTCTGAATTGAAATTCATTACTATTATATTCTTCATGTTACGCTTTTTTGCCTGATCTATATTTTCCGGGTATAACATCATGGCTGGAGTTTTAAAGAGATTCCGAGCTCGGAATCCTGTCGTTCCAGCCAGTATTCCTTCACAAGATGACTCTATTGCAGAATCACGCACTCCACCAGATACCATTGGAAGGTCAGAAGAGAAGGATGACGCAGTATCAACTGCTCGTGACATACAAGAGGCAGAAACGAATCGCAAATTAACCGCATTCGAGCAACTTCATAGATGGGATCCGAATATAGGCCAAGATCAACTAGAAGAAATCGATGACGCCATCAATAGGCGAGACGGCAATGCTGAAGGAAGAATATACGATGAAGTCTTCGAGAACTCACCATATCCTGAGGTGAGAAGATCTGATTCTTATTCTGTCACACCAATTAACTTGAGAATAGGTTCGTGCAGCGGTCAGAAATTATGACGAAGATCTTCCATGTAACACAATTCGAGCGTGGGTAATCGGATTAGTTCTCAATACCATTGCATCTGGTCTGAACTCCATTTTCTCACTCCGAGCTCCTTCTTTAACAATCACTTCAATCATCGTACAAATGGTCGCATACCCTCTAGGAGTAGGTTGGGCCATGATATTCCCAGACCGAACCTACACCACTTTTGGAGTGAAGTGGAATCTTAGCCCTGGAAAATTTAACATGAAAGAACATGGTCTCATCGTGATCATGGCCAACGCTGCATTCGGTCAAGGAGTGGCATATTTTACTGATACACTGACTGCTCAGAGAGGATTCTATGGGCAAAATTTCGGTTGGGGCTTTAACATCTTACTTGCACTCTCCACCCAATGTATTGGGTTTGGGATTGCAGGTATGATGCGAAAGTTTCTAGTCGAGCCCGCATCTATGATCTGGCCGCAGAATCTCGTTAGCACTTCTTTCATTTATGCCTTACATGACCATAGCAAAACAGATCCTGCCAAGTCGAATGGTTGGTCCATAGCTAGATATAGATATTTCTTCTATGTCTTCATCGGATCTTTTGTCTGGTATTGGTTTCCAGGCTATATCGCACAGTTCTTGAGCGTTTTCTCTTTCATTACGTGGATCCGACCAAACAATGTTGTTCTTAATCAGGTTTTTGGTGGTTGGACTGGTATTTCTATTATCCCTATTACTTTTGATTGGACTCAGATTACCGGTGAGTGATTACCCCTGAATCTGGAGCTCTTATGGATGGAATGCTTGCTTACTAGCTTATTAGGATACAACCTCCAGTCCCCGCTTATTCCACCTTGGTTTGCCATTGCTAATACGGCTATTGGTACTGTCTTTTGGTTTATGATTGTGACGGCTGGGGTTCATTTCTCGGGGCATTGGTATGCTGAATGGTTGCCTATATCTGATTCTAACAGTTATGATAATACTGGTAAACATTACAATGTTACCAAGATCCTAACTCCAGAGTACACGCTCGATATTGAGAAATATAAGGTGCGTGTTCTCTCGCTTAATTACTAGGGGCAAGCGGAAACTAACTTCATCATAGGAATACTCGCCCTTGTTCCTTTCGACTACCTTTAGTCTTACGTATGGTCTTTCTTTTGCTGCTATTGCTGCGGTAATATTCCATACTCTTTTGTTTCATGGCCAAGAAATTGTAAGTACAAACTTCTCTATCTTTATCTTTATGCGCAATGTATTACACATGTTAATACCATACTCCCCAGTGGATACTCGCTCGCGCAATCCGCGGAAGTTTAGACGATAATCACACCAAAATGATGCGAAAATATAAACCCGTACCCGGATGGTGGTATATAGTCTTCTTCCTCGTGATGATGGCTATGGCCCTAGCAGCTGTGTGCGCATATCCTACGCATCTGACATGGTGGGCATTAATCATCGCACTCATCATTTCTCTAGTTTGGACCATTCCCATCGGTATAATATATGCAACCACCAATATTCATCTCGGTCTCAATGTCTTCACTGAATATGTACTGGGTTATATGCTTCCCGGTCGTCCAATTGCTCTTATGTTGTTCAAAACATACGGATACATTACTATGAACCAAGCACATGCTTTCTTATCCGATCTGAAACTCGCTCATTACCTCAAGATCCCTCAGAGACCAGTCTTTTGGGGCCAGTTGGTAGCAACTGTTTGGAGTTGCTTTGTTCAATTAGGTGTTTTGGAGTGGGCGTTGGGTCATATTGAAGGTATATGCACCAGCGGCCAGAAAAATAATTTTACATGCCCTGGTCCGAGAGTCTTCTTTAACGCCAGCGTAATCTTTGGACTGATTGGTCCTCAACGTATCTTCAGCTCCGGAGCTATCTATGGCTCTCTTCAGTATTTCTGGTTAGCAGGTGCACTTCTTCCCTTCGTCATATATTTCCTCGCACGAGCATTTCCGAAGTCGAAAGTACGATTTTTCAGCGCCCCGATATTCTTCGGTGGTATGTCAGAACTACCACCTGCTACACCATTAAACTATTTAAGTTGGTGTTTGTATGGTTTCATCTTCCAGAGATATATCAAGAATCGATGGAGAGGGTGGTGGATGCGGTTCAATTATATCACGAGTGCGGGGCTAGATGCTGGATTGGCGATCTGCACGATTGTCATTATCGCAGCTTTGAATTTGACCGGAACGGGGTTTCCTGATGTGGGTTGATCTAGTCCCAGTCATATTGGACTGGAGTGAAAGGCTAATTATATTTTAGTGGTGGGGAAATAGAGCACCAGGGAATACAATGGATTACCTTGAGACAGCAGTGCAGAAAAAGGTGGGCGCTGGGGAGATTTTTGGGCCACCAAAAGGGACTTGGGGATAGGAGAAGTTCTTTTGTATATAACGCACAATGACCCAAGATTTCGGATACATCATATAGTAACCCGAGTTGACAGGATGGAAACTATAAGTGAAGAAGTTTAATCTTGTGGGTAAACGAACACTGATATATCACCTAACAATGTCAGCGAAGAATAGGAATACTTGTTTATAATAACGACTTAGTCTAATCGTTTATTAGAAAAAATCACTTGAACAATGTAATGGCTTATTGCTGGCAACACGAGTGTCTGAACCCATCATGAGCTGGCGAAGTATGGTCACCCGATGTGAAATTAAGAGTTTTTGATAATTTTCCAGACATATACAAGTTGTGATCAAAAATCTTGCTGGAAAAGTAATGAGAAACGACCCAAATCAACTAGAGAGTAGAACTTGGCAGTATCTCCTGCTTTTGCATATTTCATACCCCTCTTTAGGGATTGCAGCACATGGCTAAGTAATCGCAAGTTTGAAGTGAAGGCTTCCATGAGGGTTTCCAGCCGGAATCAACAATGTCGAAATGATTGAAGTGATCATATGAGTTTCAGATATTAGAATTGGCTTAGTTTCAGAATAATGTGCATGTTCTTACTTCATCTTGTCCATCTACCCAAAGCTTCTGGGTGGATCTAGTTGTGAGCTGGTGGACAACACCATTCAGATTATGCAACTCGGTTCGCTGACTCCACACGAATAGTGAGATTTCTCATCGTTGTAACCACCCAAGAATACTCCTAGCTAAGAGTAGAGGAAGTTCTTGCAATACATACTTCATGTATATCACCTGATATCGATAGCAGAAATGCAGTTGAATCATTGTCCACGGTGCTCCTTGCCAATATCTTGGTAGGTATCATATATTGAGATTATATATTTCGAGCGGAAAAAGCACTTAAATATTGACCAAAGAATAGACCAACTTTGTTCTCTCGTCGCATGTTCCTCAATGGATCACATGATGTCACAAGGCACGTGCTCCCAGTCAGACTAAACCTCGGCTCGGATGTGTTCTTCATTTGCGGGGGAGCTCCACTCTGCTTTCCCATACTAATGCTCTCCTCTCAATCATACTCCGTCTCTACCATATTTACATCAATTAAGAGAAAAGAAACTTAGCAAAGTCCATCAAGTTATCCAAATCACACATCTCACCAAAATCAATCATGGCATCCCCAACTGCACCCCCCGAGACCACCTCTTTTCTCCTCACCTACCCAACACCTCAAATCCTCCTCATAACTATTAATCGTCCGCAAGCCATGAACTCCATACCCAGCTTTGCCCATTGGGAAGCTGATGCTATTCTCACCTGGTTTGACAATTCCCCTGATTTGCGCGTTGCCATTATTACCGGAGCAGGAGAAAAAGCATTTTGCGCCGGCCAAGATTTAATCGAGCAAGCTAAATTTAAAATTGATCCTCCGCCAATGTCGACTCGTAGGCATCCACCCAGCGGATTTTGTGGTATCAGTAGGCGAGTGGGCAAGAAGCCCGTTATTGCCGCAGTCAATGGTTTCGCGCTTGGTGGGGGGTTTGAAATATGTTTAAACTGGTATACTATAGCCGCTACTTCTTGGATACTGAGATACGTATAAACTAACACCTGTTAGTGATCTAGTCGTTGCATCTCCGTTGGCAACATTTGGTCTTCCTGAAGCAGCTGTGGGCCTCTACGCCGCAGCGGGTGGTCTTCCGCGCATAGTGCGCAATTGTGGACTTCAAATAGCTACAGAAATCGCATTGACTAATCGGAAACTTACCGCCAAGGAAGCACTTTCATACAATCTAATTAACAGAGTCGCCCAATCTCCGGAGACGGTATTGAAGGAGAGTATGGAGCTCGCAGGGAAAGTAGCAGCTTTGAGCCCGGATGCGGTTATCGTATCGAGAGCGGGATTGAGAGAGGCATGGGAGACAGGGAGTGTGGAAAGAGCTACACAGATTGTTGCACAGAGGTATGATCAGCAATTGTTCGAGGGTGAGAATATGCAGATTGGGTTAGAAGCATTTGCAGGGAAAAAGAAGCCTCTGTGGGTGCCGAGCAAGATTTGAGTAGCTCGTGGCTAGTTGATGCTTCTAAAGCTGACTTCGAAGAACATATTTGTTTCGTGCACAAAATAATACAACACACTAAACAAAAAGCCTTTGATAATGAACACACTCTAATTATCGGATCATTGATTGACTGATTGGGCAAGTGAATTTATCAAATGGAATCAAGCAACGGAATCAAGCAAGATCCGTCGACCCTTGATAAAACATTGCCTCGCTGCTTTCCGGGCCCGGTGTAGCAAAATTTGATCTTCAGTTCGATTATTGAAGGAAGCTGATGTAATGACACTATTCCTCTGGCACTATCCTTCGTTCTGGTGGCGCAATTCTACTGTTCTGACCACGGCTTTCGTGCTTCTCTTGTCTAATATGTACACCACAAAGACAAAATAGTACTAAAAATGAATGAGTTCGCAGAGCTTAAATCATATACCTATTGTAGTGCGTCCAACCTGGTACGAAACCTTGTTCGGAGTTCATAGCATCTATTCAGAACTGTCTCAATCAGGTCTCTTTTTGTCAATATAACAAGCACGATGTACGGCAAAAAAAGCAGGAGAGGACTATGAAAAACCATAGATGACTGTACAGCGGTTTTTAAGAACCAAAAATCTGAGTTTCCAGCAGCCGGAATACTAAATACCCTGTCAGGGATGAACGCCTTGTAAGACTTACAAGAGTTAATATCAAGGCAAAACAGATAAGTGAATACTGCCCGAATATCCATATTTTTTCACTGTAAGGAAGTGCTGTAAGCCCAGAGCATGACCATGTATGTGAAGGAGAGCCCTTGGTTGATGTGGATAAGATTGGGAATACGAACGCGGAGACCTTGGAAGAATATTGAATTATCTGGAAAAGCTTTTCTTGGCTCGCTTCGAGAAATCAGTTGTAAAAATTCCAGACTTGTATGACAACCGACTACAAACGCAGTTGATCACTCAGTTGTCTTCCTCTAATCTGTATATGTCCAATCCTTTCATCTCTCCCAGAGCTTCCGGAACATTTGGCCCATTGTACGCCTGGTCCCTCATTACAGCCCAGTTGGCACACCAAGTATCCAATCTTCTAAGACTCTAATAAAATTTGGTACCAAGTCCACTCAGGATGTTTGCCAATTTCAATCCTGGCCATATCTGGATCCGGAAAACAGCTTCTCACCGCCTCATACAAACGCTCCGTTAAAATTCCTGCACTCCAAAGCTTTCTCACGCACTCAGCATTTGAGTTTCCAATGCTACTTCAAGAGCATTTCGGAAGACCTTCTCCATACGGCCTGCGAACTATCGCGTAAATATCAAAAACACATCTACCTGCACTAATATTGATTCTGGGACGTGATGTAGACTTATTGATACCGTGCATCTGCGCCAGTGCCGGCCGAAATGCCACAATATCGGGATTGTTCGGACGTAATGTAAGAATGCACCGAAGACGAGGTATATAACACAGATAAAAATCCCTCAAATGTAGAGATGTACAATGTACAATATAAAATGCACATAAAATTCAAAACTGCAAAGAATATCTACATACCCAAATACTTATGAGAGGATGTACAATGTAGATTATCTGAGGGCTCCGTTGGGCCTTGAAGGGTTACCACATAGTAGTCTCTTCACCCCGTCCACCTCTTCCCCTCCCTCTCTTTCTCTCTCATTCACTTACTTAAATTGATACAACACCAGATGCGGTTATCTATAAAAAAGTTGATTCTTGAAAGTTCTCATTGTCTGGTTGCTATTGGCGATGGACAATTACATACCTAATACGAATGAATTACAAATGAAAATCTCAACGGTATAAAGTCGGTAGCTTGATAATTTACTAGACCCATAATTATCAATTTAACTTTTTTCATTGGTTAAATTATCTCAAGGGTCCCCTCCCCACCCAAATATGTCCAAATTCCTCCATCTCCCTTCAAACATCCCCCAAACCCCAGAATATTAATCAAAACATTACTTCATTTTCAGGTGTAAATTGATGTAAAAATTATTATATTCAGGGCAGTCTATTCACGCCCTAGTTAACCATGACTTCATCACGACCACCACCGACTTCTCCACCTTTACGATCAAATTCCAGAACTCCAAGTCTGCGAAATCAAAATGTTTCGCAATTCACACCGACACATCCTAGCGGATTGAGAGAATCGTTTACCCTTGCGACGAGTCCGGAGGCGACAAGACATGTTGAAGAAGATGGTACAAATGACAGGAACGATGAGAACTCGAGGAACGATACCGAGCAACCATTACCGCATGCTCGCCCTACTCGCGCCGATACATCTGCAAGCACAGATGATGGACTAGACGGCTATTCGCATGAACACACTGGGTTTGGAGGAAAGCTCTCCGACGAGACCACCGCTTTACTGAGGAAGCCTTTTGAACCGATTGGCAATGCGGTACATCCTGGACCTTGCAATCATGGAACATTTAGCCCGAGGCTGGGGAGTCGTGCGGACAGTGTGAGGAGCTTTGGAGGTTCTGCGCCAGTATCTCCCAATGGCAACGGGGAGCCTAGTGACGGACTGATTGGGGGATTACTTAAAGGCTTAGGAGTGAGGAATGGTCCAATGGCAAAGCCAAAGAGGATGAGCACGACAAGTTGGCTCGCAGAACAACATGGAATTACCAACACTACTGGAATGTATGTATAAACACTGAGCTGCCAGAATTGCGTATGGAGTTTTGCTAACAGTTTCTTGCGTAACAGGTACATAAATTACTACATACCATTTTTCACCTGGATTCGACAATATAGATGGGTACATCTTCGGGGCGACCTCATAGCTGCTATCACAATGGCTTCCTTCTACCTACCTATGGCTCTTTCTTATGCATCCAACCTCGCACACGTTCCGCCAATCAACGGTCTTTACTCTTTTGTTTTCAATCCACTTATATATGCTATATTTGGAAGCTGCCCGCAAATGGTTGTTGGTCCTGAAGCCGCGGGAAGTCTACTAGTTGGCTCGGTTGTGAAATCTACTGTCGATATCGGCGACGGGGGCGAAGAAGACGATTTAATGCACGCAAGAGTTGCTGGTATTGTTACCGGTATGGCGGGAGCAGTAATCTTCATTGCTGGCTTAACTCGCCTAGGGTTCCTAGACAGTGTGCTGAGCAGACCATTTTTGAGAGGTTTTATTTCTGCGATTGGTTTCGTCATTATGGTCGATCAATTGATACCAGAGATGGGACTGGCAGCACTGGCAGATGAAATGGGAGGTGTCGCTCATGGAAGTAGTGTCGATAAGTTGGGCTTTTTGATTCGCAATGCAGGCAAAGCGCATAAGCTTACTTGTGTTGTTGCTGGTGTCAGTTTTATCATAATTATGATTTTCAGGTATGTGGGACCAAGGATCTTAGTTCCGCTCATTACTGATTTGATTCAGAGAGATGAAAAAGCGCCTTCAACCTCGATATCCAAGTGTTGCATACATACCCGACAGATTTCTAGTAGTGGTTATTTCGGCTATTCTAGCCTGGAAATATAATTGGGAAGACCTGGGACTCCAGATCCTCGGTGAAGTCAAATCGACTGGCGGAGCACCATTTACTTTCAGATGGCCATTCCAAATTTCTCATATGAAGCATGTCCGAGAATCTATGGGAACATCTTTCTTGATCGCGCTTCTCGGCTTTTTCGAGTCATCCGTAGCGGCTAAAAGTCTTGCTGGTGCAGAGGGGAAAGACTTGATCCAAGGAGTACAGCTCAGTCCTAATCGCGAATTGGTCGCTCTTGGAGTCGCAAATTTAGTTGGTGGCTGCTTCCAAGCAGTTCCTGCATTTGGTGGGTATGGTCGAAGCAAAGTTAATGCTAGTACTGGTGGAAACACTCCCATGAGCAGCATTTTCTTAAGTTTGTTAACCGTACTCTGCATTCTGTTTCTCTTACCTGCGTTCTATTATCTTCCGGTATACCTCCATAATTTCCCTTACTTTTTTTATCCTAAGCTAATATTGTCCTAGAAAGCGGTTCTCTCCTCAATGATTACGGTGGTAGCCTATTCTTTAATCGAAGAAGCACCGCATGACATAGCATTCTTTATTCGAATTCGTGGATATACTGAATTAGGCCTTATGTTCATCATCTTTGCCTCGACTATCTTTTACTCACTCACTCTTGGCATCGCTATTGGAGTCGGTCTCTCTCTTCTATCCGTTATCAAACACTCTACTCGTCCTCGTATCCAAATTCTAGGCCGTATTCCTGGTACCAATCGTTTCGAAAACGCTGAAGACAATCCGGAGAAACTGGAATTCATCGAGGGATGTCTCATTGTTAAAATTCCCGAGCCACTTACCTTCGCCAACACTGGTGATCTCAAAAACCGACTAAGACGATTAGAATTGTACGGCACAAATAACGCCCATCCTGCACTACCTCGCGTACGATCTCCTGAACATAATAAAAATATTATTTTTGATATTCATGGCGTTACAGGACTTGATGGTTCGGGTACACAGGTTTTAGAGGAAATCGTAAGAGGATATAGAAATAGAGGTGTTAGAGTGTTCTTTTCCCGTGGTCCTCAAGAAGGAACTCACATTTGGAGATTATTGGAACGAAGCGGGATTTTGGAAACTTGTGGAGGCAGAGAACATTTCGTCAAAGATGTGGAAGAGGCATTGAGATTGACGGAAACTGAAGTCGATCCAGATGCTACTAATTTAACAAATGATTCTGTGGGTACATGATTGTATATATTTACAGGGGGTTAGCAGGTGTTGTCGCCGAAAATTTGGCGGATTGGTCAATCAGTCGCCGGGCTGGGAATTCCCTTTCTTTTCTTTCTTGATATTTGTTTGTTTGCTGATTGGGCTGTGTGTGGATTGGCTATTATATGATTGATGAGCGAATGAGCGAATGAGCGAGCATTGCTTGGCGCATGGTTTGGTGATTGACCGATTGATGAGCGATTTATATTCAATGATGAGATGAGATGAGATGAATGAAGATTTATATATATTGTATGTAGCACGGGATGG